CTATGCGAAAAGCTATAGACGTTTAAAGTTGGCCATAGTTTCACTTCGGTACTCCTCAGCAGTAGCAATTAGCCTCCTGGAACTTCATCTGGCCGTATCTCGAGTTCTGGGAGAGCTAGAGAGTTGGTTTTTGGACCGAATTATAGGAAATTTTATCTATTTTAGGATCATCAACAGGAAATCTAAAATTTCAAAAAAAATAGGAGGTTAGAGACGCCAGACGACGAGACACGCCGCGTCTCTAACCTTGAAAACTTCAAATGACCGTATCTCGGCTACTAGATGAGCGAGAGAAATGAAAACTTGACAGAAATGTGTGAAATTTTGATAGTCTTAAAATCTTCTTTACAATCTGTAGATTTCTTTAGAATCCTGAAAATTATGAAATTACAAAAGAAATATTCACGATTTCGAAATATGTAGGAGTGTGGCTTCATTTTGGTCCAAAAACGGCTTTTCTAGCTCATCTAGGAGCCGAGATACAGCCATTTGAAGTTTCGAGAGGCTAGAAACGCAGTGTGTCTCGTCGTCTGGCGTCTCTAGCCTTCTAAAACTGCAAATGGCTATATCTCAGGTTCTAGAGGAGCTAAAAAGTTGGTTTTTGGACAGAATTGAAGGAAATTTTGTCTTTTTTAGGATCATCAACAGGAATTCTGAAAATTTCGAAAAAATTTTTTTTCGAAAAAATTTGAAAATTTTTCAAAAATTTTGATTTTCACCATTTAAAATATTTTTCCAAGCAAATTCTATAATCTGACATTGAATTCGTTCTCAGCATGTTGAGTGCTTTAAAATGATACTAAACACGACTATTTTCCGTTGAATTTGAAATTTGCTGGTTACGGTAGCTTGATTTCGTGGTGGGACCCGGAAATTTTTGGTTTAAAGGTAAATGTGTCGTGTTTATACTCATTTTGAAGCTCTCGGCGAGCTAGAAACGATTCTAATGTTAAATCGCTTATTTCCAGCTCTACGTCTACTACTCCTCGCGTAAAATCCAAATGGTAGCTTCCCGTTGGGGCCTGGCGTTCGCCTCGTGCTTCACCGTCGCCTCGACATTGCTCATGACAACTGGAATATGTGCTCATTTGGATTTGTCCACAACGACATGGGGATCAGAAATCTATCCATATATTGCACTGATCATGGGTCTGGAGAATACCCTGTGTATCACACGGAGCGTCGTTTACACGTCACCGTCGCTAGATGTATCCTCTCGAATTGCTCATGGACTGTCCCAGGAGGGATATAAGCTAACCAAATACTATATTCTAGAATTGCTATTTTTATTGATTGGATTCTTGACAAGAGTCCCCGATATCCAAGAATTCTGTCAGTTTAGTGTCATTTGTGTTACGGTAGATTTTTATATGCAGGTAGGAAAATGACCTAAAAATCGATTTTTTTTTCGCTAAATTTTGATTTTTCAAATTTTTAAAGTTTTCTCCCGCCCACCCGGAAAATTTGGAAATCTGACTTCAAATTCGTTTTCAGCTCATTGAGAGCTTCAAATTGATGCCCTACACGACTATTTTCCGTTGATTCCGGGTTACGGTAGCTTCATTCCTCCGCAAACACCAGAATTGACGACAAAATTCGAAAATTTTCGGTTTAAAGATAAATCGGTCGTGTTTATACTCATTCTGAAGCACTCGACAGGCTGGAAACGATTCTGGAGTGTGACATGCGCAAAAATGATTTTTACGAAAATTTATAAAAATCAAAATTTCAAAAATTTCGGGAATTTCGATTTTTTACTTTTTTTTCAAAAATCCTGAATTCTAACTCTATTTTCATTTTCAGCTTGCTGAGAGCTTCGAAATGATACCCCACACGACCACTTTCCGTTGATTTTGAATTTTTCGGGTTACTGTAGCTGGATTCCGTGGTGGGACCCGGAATTTCAAATTTGAGGGAATAGGGTCGTGTTTATACTCATTTTGAAGCAATGGAAAATGGTCAAAAATGTATTTTAGAAGAATTTCAGACAGAAAATTTTCAGCCAAAAAAAAAAAATTTTTTTTTGCAGCTCTTCTTCTACGCCCCGTGCCTAACCTTCGATCTTCAACGCCTGGGTCTCGAAGAGAAGCGAAAATTTGCCGAAATCCTACTGTACGAAGAGATTCCCCGCTTGAAAAATTACGCGCCGATCAGTTGCCCGATGCGAAAAATCTGGCCGAAACTGTTCGTGATGAAGAAGATGCAAAAACGGCGATTTTCGGATTCCGAACTATTTCAAGACGATGATGCGCCAATAGGCTCCGCCCACTTTTCCGCTTCAAAAGACGACGGAGACGTGCCGATACCGCGTCCCGAGGATTCGCTTCGAATGAAAATTATGTACTTTATCACACGCACCCGAATTGTGCAGAGGACCATTTTGGTGGTATTCGCCACGTGGACACTGATTCTGGTCTTTTTTGTCGGCTCCCGACAGCTCGGAATCGATAATCGATTGACTAGTGAGTCGGGAAATTGGAAAATAGACGCTGAAAATGAGCCAAAAATCGACAAAAAAAAAGCTAAGAATCGTGAAAATTGGTTGAAAATAAGACGAATTGAGCAAAAATCGATAATCGCATGAATCATTAGTTTTGAGGCCTAAAATACGCTGAAAATAAGCTGAAAATGAATACGAATAAGCCGGAAACGGTTACGGAGCGAAATAAGACGACTTTTACACTGAAAATCATAAAATTTGGCTGAAAATAGTCAAAAACAGGCGAAAATGAGCAAAAATCGATAATTGATCGACTAGTGAGTTTTTAGGCCGACATTTTTTCGAAAATCCGCTGAAAACGGTTTCAAATACGCCAAAAACACAGTTACGCAGAGACATTAGACGAATTTTGAGCCGAAAATCGTGAAAATCGCAAAAATCGATAATCGAGTGATTGGCGAGGCGAAAATTGACTGGAAATTAGCTAAAAATAGCTTCCGATGAGCCGAAAACAGTTATGGAGAGAAATTAGACAAATTTTGAGCTAGAAATCATGAAAATCGGCTGAAAATTAGCAAAAATCGATTAATCGATTTTTTGAAATACTAACTTCCGATTTTTCCAGAATTTGAGTCCGGAATTTGTGAGCAGCTCGTTGAGAGCTTCAAAATGATACCAAACACGACCAGTTTCCGTTGGTTTTGAAAATTTCTCCGCAAACACCAGATTTGACGACACAATTCGAAAACTTTTGATTTCGAGATCAATAGGTCATGTTCATACTCATTTTAAAGCTCAGGACGAGCTAAGAACGATGGAAATGTTGAAAATGAAAAAAATCGATTTTTCCATTTTTTCGAAAAATTTCGACTTTTTGGATTTTTCAGTTTTCGACTTTTTTTTTCGAGATCCTCGGAATTTTAACTTCAAATTCGCCCTCAGCTCGTTAAGAGCTTCAAAATGATACCCCACACGACCATTTTTCGTTGGTTTTGAAAATTTTCGATTTACGGTAGCTTCGTTTCGTGGTGGGGCCCGGAATTTCAAATTTGAGGGAATAGGGTCATGTTTATACTCATTTTGAAGCTATCGATGAGCTAAAAATGAATATGGAATCAGATTTCCGAAATGTTCGAAAAAAATCCTAAAAACCAAAATTTTGATTTTTCGATTTTCGCAAAATTCAGTTTTTTTTTTCAAATTCTGACGCCAAATTTGTCTCTAGCTCGTCGAGAGCTTCAAAATGAGCATAAACATGCCCATGTTATCCTGAAATTGAACTTTCGGGTCCCACCACGAAATGAAGCTACAGTACCTCGAAAATCTTGAAAATTAACGGGAAATTGTCGTGTTTGGTATCATTTTGAAGCTCTCGACGAGCTGAGAACGATTCTACTGTCAAAAATGTAAATTTTCAAAAATATTCCACCGTTTCCACGAAATTCTTATCCCTCCGTCCGCCTCCTCCCATTTCCTCTTCCATCACCACGTCCGCCCCAATTTTCTGGCTCTCCTGTTGAATTTGAACTTGTTTCGCTCCGCCTATTTTCCAGCGATCGCTTAAAAACACGTAGGCGAAGAATGCGATTACTGTAGTGATGAGCAATAGCCAAAACGCCACCAAATACACTTTCAAAATCAGGAAAAAAAAAAATCAATTTTTCCATATATCGATTTTTGATGAATTTTACGGTTTATCCCTCAAATTTAAGCCTTGTTTCCAGACCAATCCATTGAGAGCATCTCTCAATCACATCGAATCCTGTCGACGGCCAATTTACAGTATGGAAATTGGCAAAGGAGGACTTACAAGTGGTCAGCCATCTGTTTTTTTCGAATTTTCGAAATTTCTTGCGTTTTCCTAGCCTTTTGACCCACATTATCGTTTCTAGCTCACCGAGAGCTTCAAAATGAGTATAATCACGACCCGTTTATCTTGAAATTTCGAATTTTGTCGCCAATTCTGGTGTTTGCGGACAAATGAAGCTACAGTAACCCGATGATTCGGAAAATGGTCGTGTGGGGTATCATTTTGGAGCTCTTAACAAGCTGAGGACAAATTTGAAGTTGAACTTCTGGGATTTTCGAAAGAAAAGTCAAAAATTGAAAAATCCAAAAATTCGAAAGTTTTCGAAAAAATGGAAAAAGCGATTTTTTCATTTTCAACATTACCATCGTTCTCCGCTCGCCGAGAGCTTCAAAATGAGTATGAACACGACCCATTTATCTCGAAATCGAAAATTTCCGCAATTCGTCGTCAATTCTGGTGTTTGCGGACAAATGAAGCTACAGTAACCCAAAATCAACGAAAAATGGTCGTATAGGGCATCATTTTGAAGCTCTTATCGAGCTGAAAACGGATATGAAATCAGATTTCCGGATTTTCTGGAAAAAAAATCTGAAAAAATCGAAAAATCCAAAATTTTCAAAAAAATCGATTTTTTCCAAATTTTATGCAAATTTCAATTTTTTCCAGGTGGCCAGCTGTCGCACACGAATACAACATCTCGCTGAATTCGCGATACGTCACCTTCCTCCCACCGATCGTTCTCCAGTCGATAATCGATCCCACCGATCGATTCCTCCAAAAAATCGATAAATCGATATCGAACCACTCTGAGAATTCCGAAGAGGACGCGCCGATCCTTCGATCGCGTATCGATTGGCTCGAAATGCAGCTGAAAGTGTATTTGGCGGCGTTTTGGCTATTGCTCATCACTACAGTAATCGCATTCTTCGCCTACGTGTTTTTAAGCGATCGCTGGAAAATAGGCGGAGCGAAACAAGTTCAAATTCAACAGGAGAGCCAGAAAATTGGGGCGGACGTGGTGATGGAAGAGGAAATGGGAGGAGGCGGACGGAGGGATAAGAATTTCGTGGAAACGGTGGAATATTTTTGAAAATTTGCATTTTTGACAGTAGAATCGTTCTCAGCTTGTCCAGAGCTTCAAGATGAGTATAAACATGACCATGTTCCTTCAAAGTTGAAATTCCCGGGTCCCACCATGAAACGAAGCTACAGTAACCCGAAAATGTCGAAATCGACGGAAAATAGTCGTGTTTGGGCTCATGTTGAAGCTCTCAATGAGCTGAAAACAATAATAGAGTCAGAATTTGATAAATTCTCTGAAGAAATCGAGAAAAATTCAAAAAATCCGAAAATTTGAATTTTCGATATTTTTTGTTCCCTAATTTTCGTAAAACTCAGTTTTTTCAGCATTTACAACATTATTATCGTTTCTAGCTCACCGAGAGATTCAAAATGGTATAAACATGACCCTATTACTAGAAATTTGAAATTTCGGGTCCCACCACGAAAATCCGAAATGAAAATTCCGAATTTTTGAAAAATCGATATTCATCGATTTTCAAAAATTTCTAAATACTTCTAAATTCGAATATCATATATGCTGAAAATCCCGGAAAATAAAAAAAAATCGATAATCGATTTCCAGCTGCCCATCGCCTTCCAAGGCCATCGATTCCCCATCGAATCGGTGGCAATCGATGAATCGAACCCATCGCGATTCGTCTCATCCTGTCAAGAGGGAATCGTGAATTTGTGGAATTCACAAACGGGACAACGCATTCTGAGAATCAATCGGCTGAGAGCTCTACCGGAGAAGGGAAAAGACATCCCGCAAGCGCCGAAAGTTTGGGCATTGGCGAAACGGTAAGAATTTGACAGGAAAATTCGAAAGAATTCCAGAAAATTTGAGCCAAAAATCGTGAAAATTGAGCCAGGAATTTGAAAAATCGATATTTTTCAAATTATCGATTTTTTCCATTTTTCTTCCGTAAAATTTGAAAATCTGAACTTTGATTCAATTTCAGCTCGTTTAGAGCTTCAAAATGATACCCCACACGATCATTTGCCGTTGTTTTTGAGTTACTGTAGCTTCATTTGTCCGCAAACACCAGAATTGGCGACGAATTGCGGAAATTTTCGATTTCGAGATAAATGGGTCGTGTTCATACTCATTTTGAAGCTCTCGGCGAGCTAAGAACGATGGAAATGTTGAAAATGAGAAAAAATCGATTTTTCCATTTTTTAGAAAACTTTCGAATTTTTAGATTTTTCAATTTTTGACTTTTTTTTCGAAATTCTCAAAAATTTAACTTCAAATTCGTCCCTAGCTCGTTAAGAGCTTCAAAATGATACCCCACACGACCATTTTCTGATGATTTTGAATTTTTCTGGTTACGGTAGCTTCGTTTCGTGGAGGGACCCGAAATTTCGAAATTTCAAGATAAATACCTCATGTTTATGCCCATTTTAAAACTCTCGACGAGCTCAAAACGATAGTGAAGCTTAAATTTCGATAATCCGAGAATTCGAAGAGTTACGATCGAAATTATTGATTTTATCGATTTTTTCAGCAACGACACCGTAATCCTTGGCTGTTGTGATGGCTCGATCGAAATCGCGAGTGTTTCCCGAAACAAACTGATCGGACTCTACACAAAATCGATAATCGGTGTGTCTCATGTCGTTTGTAGGGATGATGACGTGGCAATTGTTCGTCTGGATGGAAGTATCGATTTTCTGACAGTAGACTATGAGAAAACAGATGATGGAAAAGTAAGAGGCCTCAAAAATGAGAAAAATTCTGAAATTTTGGAATTTTTTTGAAAATTGTTTTTTGTCAAAAAATGTTTTTTTTCACAATTTCAAAATTTTCGACTCGATAATCGAAGAACTGACCCCAGAATCGTTTCTAGCTCACCGAGAGCTCCAAAATGAATATGAACATGACCATGTTCCTTTAAATTTGAAATTTCCGGGTCCCACCACGAAATCGAGCTACAGTAACCCGAAATTTTCAAAATCAAAATAGAATAGGCTTGCTTGGTATCATTTCAAAGCTCTTGATGAGCTAAGAATGAATATTTAGTCAAAAATTCAAATTTCAGTTTTGAAAATCTGGAAAAATCTAAAATTTTAAATTTTCGATTTTTTTGTTTTCAATTTTTTTTCCTAAAAATCAATTTTTCAGCATTTTCAACATTAGAATCGTTCTTAGCTCGTCGTGAGCTTCAAAATGAGTATAAACATGACCATGTTCCTCCAAATTTGAAATTCCGGGTCCCACCACGAAATCCAGCTACAGTAACCCGAAATTTTCAAAACCAACGGAAAATGGTCGTGTTTGGTATCATTTGAAAGCTCTAAATGAGCTGAAAACGAATATAAAGAAAAAATTGAAAAATTTTCAAGAAAAAAAACTGAAAATAATCCGAAAAATCGAAAAATTGAACTTTTCGAATTTTTCTCAAAAATCAATTTTTTAAAAGCATTTTCGTCTTTAAAATCGTTTCCAGCTTGTCAAGGGCTTCAAAATAAGTGTAAACACGATATATTCACCTAAACTTTGAAATTCCGGGTCCCACCACGAAATCCAGCTACCGTAACCCGAAATTTTCAAAATCAACGGAAAATGGTCGTGTTTGGTATCATTTTGAAGCCCTTGATGAGCTGTCAAATTTCATTTTAGAAAATCAAGAAAAATCGATAATCGATTTTCAGATCCGTGTCCGCCAAATCGACCATCTCAAATCGGTGCGAGCCCACCAGAAACCCATTTCTCGAGTCGCCACGTGGAATTCCAGTCAACTCATCACCTCGTCGTTCGATCGATCGATAAAAATGTGGAATTGGTCGAAGAAGGGGGAAGACATTGAGATGAGCAATGTTTTCTTGGCTCACAACGCCCCTGTGGTCAGTTTGGTGATTGGCGAGCGATCGATAATCGATAATCAATCGATTATGTACTCGTCGTGTGAAGAAGGTGAGCTTGATGGTTTTTGAATTTTTTCGAATTTCCCGCCGAAAATATTTTAACCCGAAAATTCAAAAATCTGACATAATATTCATTCTCAGCTCGTTTAGAGCTTCAAAATGATACCCCACACGACCATTTTCCGTTGATTTTGAAATTCTCGGGTTACGGCAGCCTCATTTCTGTGCAAACACCAGAATTGACGACAAAATTCGAAATTTTTCGATTTCAAGATAAATGGGTCGTGTTTATACTCATTTTGAAGCTCTAGACGAGATGAATTTATCTTGAAAACGAAAACGTTCGAATTTCGTCGTCAATTCTGGTGTTTGCGGAGAAATTCAGCTACAGTAACCCGAAAATCTTCAAAATCAACGGAAAATAGTCGTGTTCGGTATCATTTTGAAGCTCTCAACAAGCTAGAAACGAAAATGCAAAAACTGGGGACAAAAAAAAATCGAAAAATCAATTATTCGAAATTTGTTCTCGATAATTTCAAAAATCCAACTCCATTTTCGTTCATAACTCAATCAGTGCTTAAAAATGAGCCCAAACACGACTATTTTCCGTTGATTTTGAAATTTCGGGTCCCGTCATGAAACGAAGCTACCGTAACCAAAAAACTTCAAAATCAACGGAAAATATCGTGTTTGGTATCATTTTGAAGCTCTCGACGAGCTGAGAACGATTCTGGAGTCAAACAATTCTTAAAAATCTAATAATCTCATTTTTCAGGCGTAATCTGTTGGTGGAACCTCACAACCGGGGAATTGATTCGAACTCTGGACAACAACACGACTTGGGCATTCCAACTCGCCACGTCATCTGAATTCCTGCTCGGATTCTATGGATCGTCGCAGTTGTTCATGTGGAATGTCGAGAATGGACAGCTGGCGTGTCGGGTGACCGACGCGCTTGGTGATGGAACGGTAAGAACCCCAAAAATCGATTTTTATCGATTTTTCATGCTGAAAATCGAGTTTCCCGACGAAAATTAGATCGAAATCGATATTTTCGGAAATTAGGCCAAAATTTCTCAAAAATCCCTAATTTTCGGTTTTTTTCCATATTTTTCAGCTGAATTTTCTATTTTATATGGCTGAAATCAATATATTATCGATTTTTCATGCTGAAAATCGAGTTTCCCGACAAAAATTAGGCCTAAAACGATATTTTCTAAATTTAGGCAAAAATTTCCGAAAACCCCTAATTTTTTCGCAATTTTTCTTGGATTTTTTGCTGATTTCATATTTCTAGCGCAAAAAATCAATATTCTATCGATTTTCCATGCTGAAAATCGAGTTTTCCGTTTGAAAATACCCCAAAATCGACGTTTTTCCGTTGAATTTTTAATTTTCGAGAAACTCCGCAACTTGTCGTAAGGTTTGGTGCACTCGGTGCATTCACAGAAACTTGGAAGATTTTTGGTGGGAAGTTCGTAAATTCAAATTTTGAGCTCAATTTCTTCGTTTTCTGTCAATTTTTGGCTGAAAAAAATTCCGAAAATAACCTAAAAAATCGATTTTCTTGCAGAGCGAGGACACTCTCTACACTGTGGGAAGCAGCGGTGTCGTCTCGTTCGACGATCAAATAGCCGCCACGGCTTCATCGGATTCCGTCACTTTTTGGGATCTCAAGCATCGAGCGATTATTGGAAAGGTGAAAAAAATGAGGGAAATCGACTTGAAATGACCTAAAATAGCCTAAAAATTTAAAAAAATGACTCAAAAATCGTTTTTTTTTTTAATTTCGAAAATTTCCAATTTTTAGGCAAAACTCAACGGAAAAATCAGCTCGATGCGCAAATTGACGGCGCAAAGTGTGCTTTGTGGTGTGGACAACTCAATGTACGCGGTTACAGTACCCCTGGTTCGATTCAAAAGTTGAAGAAGGAAGCTCCGCCCACTTTTCACTAATTTTTTCGATTTTTTTTTTCTTTTTTTGTCATTTTTCCCATTGAAAATCGATATTTTATCAATTTCCCATGCTGAAAATCGAGTTTCGCAGTGGAAATTAGGCCTAAATCGATATTTTCAGATTTTAGGCCAAACTTTTCCAGAAACCTCAATTTTCGTTATTTGTCTTTGATTTCCCCATTTTTAATGTTGAAAATCGATATTTAAGCAATTTTTCATGCTGAAAATCAAGTTTTCCAGCCGAAATTACCCCAAAAACGATTGTTTTTTGATGAATTTTTGATTTTCGATTATCTCCGCAACTTGCCGTAAGGTTTGGTGCACTCGGTGCATCCACCAAAACTTCAGGCTTTTGGCGGGAAATTTGAATTTTAACCTCGTTTCTTCATTTTTCGCGTTTTTCTCTGGATTTTTATTGCTTTTCTATTTTTGAAGCCTAAAATCGATATTCTAGCGATTTTTCATGCTGAACATCGAGTTTTCCGCCTGAAAATACCCCAAAAACAATTGTTTTTCGTTGAGTTTTTGATTTTCGATTATCTCCGCAACTTGTCGTAAGGTTTGGTGCACTCGGTGCGATACACCGAAATTGCCAAATTTTGGCGGGAATTTTGAATTTTGAGCTCGTTTTTCGTTGTTTCTTTCCGATATTCATGTGATTTTTGTGCCTTTTTTCATCGATTTTTCAGGAATTTTTCAATGCCTTTGTGATATTTTTAGTGCCATTTTTTAGTTGAAATCATGTATATTTATCATTGTATAAAGGATTTTTCTTTTTTTGTTAAAATTTTCAATTTTTGAGTTTTTTACCTCATTTTTTATCGATTTTCGTGGTTTTTAGCTAATTTTACATGTATTTTGAGCTCAAAAACGGCTTAAAATTGTCCCCAGATGTCGCCCTCGTCGTCTGACCGACTCGGTTATCCATTTTCCACCTTCCTGGACCAACATTCTGCCCAGCTGAACGCATCGGCGGTTCCACCGGAGCTATGGCACAGCCTGTACCGAAAACTATCGGATCAAACGTTCGACGCCGGCGATCACTTTCAAATTATTTGCGAAATGGACGAAAACGACGAGAAGAAGACGTTGTTTGTGCGCGCGCTCGAGGATATGCATAATAATGATGAGGAAAAGTTCGTTTTGCTAGTAAAAATCGATAAAAAACGAGAAAAATCGGCTGAAAATGCCCCAAACATGGCTAAAAATGACCGAAAAAACATTTTTAATAAATTGAAAAAAATTCAAAAAAAATAAAAATTTTTCCGTTTTTTTTTAATCTCGAAAATGCTCCTCTCAGTGCTCAAAAATTCGATATTTTATCGATTTTTCATGCTGAAAATCGAGTTTTCCAGCCGAAATTAGCCCTAAATCGAATTTAGGCCAAAATTTTCCGATAACTTGACTTTTTTCGATTTTTAAAGGGTTTTTTAAATCTATTCCTCTATTTTACAATCTAAAATCGATATTTTAGCAATTTCTCATGCTGAGAATCAAGTTTTTTGGCTGAAACTAGGGCAGAATCGATATTTCCAGATTTTAAGCTAAAATGTCCCAGAAGCTCCGATTTTTTTCAGTTTTTCGTCAATTTCTTCAATATTTCTATGAAAAATCGATATTTAAGCAATTTTTCATGCTGAAAATCGAGTTTTCCGACCGAAATTACCCCGAAATCGACTTTTTTCGTTGAATTCTTGATTTTCTAAAAACTCCGCAACTTGTCGTAAGGATTGGTGCACTCGGTGCATACACAGAAAACTTGCAAGATTTTTGGTGGGAAACTCAAAATTTCAAATTTTGAGCTCAACTTCTTCGTTTTTTGCCAATTTTAGTGATTTTCTGGGTAAAAAAAAAGCTAAAATTTATATTTTATCGACTTTATCAGCTGACAATCTAGTTTCCCAGCCAAAACTAGGTTGAAATCGATGTTCGCAGATTTTAGATCAAAACTCCTGAAAATCATGCTTTTTTCGATTTTTTTTAATATCTTTCAGTTGATTTTTCATTGATTTCTCTATTTTACTATCTAAAATCGATATTTTAAGAATTTTTCATGCTGAAAATTAAGTTTTTTGGCTAAAATTAGGCCAGAATCGATATTTCCAGATTTTAAGCTAAAATGTCCCAGAAACTCCGATTTTTTCGCTTTTTCATTAATTTTTTCAATATTTCTATGAAAAATCGATATTTTATCGATTTTTCATGCTGAAAATCGAGTTTCCCAGCTGAAATTACCCCTCAATCGATTTTTTTTTCGTTGAATTTTTAATTTTCGAGAAACTCCGCAACTTGTCGTAAGGTTTGGTGCACTCGGTGCGGTACACAGAAACTTGCAAGATTTTTGACGGGAAACTCAAAAATTCAAATTTTGAGCGCAATTTCGTCGATTTTTGCCAATTTTAGTGATTTTATAAGGAAAAAAACCTAAAAATGGAAAAAAAAAATCCTAAAATAATTTTTTCAGCATCTTCCTGATCGACCACTTCATCTCGTTTCCCGCGGAATCGGCACGGAAATGTGTCGAATCCAATGAGAAACTTCCTGAACGCCTTGCCGCGCTTTTTGGCATCGATGTAAGTGGTTTTCATAGTGAAAAAGCAGGATTTCCAAGTGATTTTCAAGCTGAAAATCACGAAAATGACCCAGAAATCGATAATTTTGGGCGAAAAATTTTTTCAAAAAAAAAATTTTTTTTTTGAAAATTTTGAATTTTTTAGCCAAAAATTCCCAAATTTTTCGTATTTTATAGGACGACGATTGCTCATCTGATGGCGATGAAACCGTCGAAAAAATCGAAACGAGCTGCGAAAAAGAGGAAGAAGAGCACGCTAGACGGCTCTCGGAGCCCGGATTACCACGTCACGAGTCTGTCGACGCGCGGCTCTCGTCGTATTCTGTGGACGATCCGAAGAAGACGATGACGGAGAGAGTGATGCGGAATTTGTGGAAATTCGCGCAGACTTATACGGGTTAGTGCGGGAAAATTCCTGAAAATCTTTTAAAATTGGTTTAAAACGGGCTAAAAAGACTCAAAATAGCTTAAAAATTGGCTTAAACCCATATAGAATAACCTGAAAATCTAACAAATCGAAAAAAATTTTTGAATTTTTTTTTTGAAAATTGAAAATTTTCGATTTTTCAAAATTTTCTGAAATTCTATCTGAAAATCCTCAAATCTGACTTTTGCTTCATTCTCAGCTCGTTGTGAGCTTCAAAATGACACCAAGCACGACTAGTTTCCGTTGATTTTGAACTTTTCGGGTTACTGTAGCTGGATTTCGTGGTGGGACCCGAAATTTTAGATTTAAAGGAACATGGTCGTGTTTATACTCATTTTGAAGCTCTCGGCGAGCTGAGAACGATTCGAATGTCAAAAACACGAAACTTTGATTTTTCGGAAAATTTTGGGGCAAAAAATGTTTTTGTTTCATTGAAAAAGTCCGAAATCTAGCTTAAAAATTGCAGTTTCCTATCAATTGGAGAACGGCGAGATGGAGAAGAAGCACGTCTGGTACGTCATGGACGATTTCGGCTCGCGAATCCGTCATTCCGGATGTCCCAACGTCCGAATTGTCCCCTTGATGTTTTTGCCACAAAACTGCGCCTACAGTATCATGTTCTTGACGAAACCTGTGAAAATCGACGACGAGATTACGATGGATTGGGCGGCGAACGTTATCACGGCGAAGAATCCCGAATGGAGACAGTATCTGGAGATGCCGTGGGCTGAAAAGGTGAAAATAAGCTGAAATGGATGGAAGAATCGAATTCAGCGCTAAAAATAACCGTAGAATCGAATTTGCCACCCAAAAATACCCCCAAAAAGCCGTTTTTAAGAATTCTGTGCAAACACCAGATTTGACGCGCAAATTCAAAATTTTCAGTCAAAAATCAATCATAAAAAACACCATTCCCGGCTAGTTTTTGTTCAGGAATTCGATTTTCGACATAATTTATCTCTAAAATTCCAATTTCCCACTGAAAATTCCATTTTTCCGTAAACACCAGATTTGACGCGCAAATTTGAATTTTTCGCTAAAAATCGTAAAAAACACACAATTTCAGGCTAGTTTCTGCCCCGGGCAATTCGTTTCTGACAGGTCGAATTTTCGCTGAAAACTCCAAGATTCTGTGCAAACACCAGATTTGACGACAAAATGCAGAATTTTTAAAAAATTTGACTCTAAATTCGAGATTGGCGCACAAAACTACGGGTCAAAGCCTATTTCTCTTGCCGAAACTGCTTATTTTCGAGAATTTGGATGAATGTCCGCAAACACCAGATTTGACGCGCAAATTCAATTTTTTGCTTAAAAATTGTAAAAATCTTGTTTTTCAGACTAGTTTTTGCTGGGGAATGCAATGTTTTCATCTATCGAAATCCAAATGTTCAAATTTTTTTCTAAAAATTGAATTTTTCTGTATAAACACACCAGATTCGACGACAAAATGCAGAATTTTCAAATTTCTCGCCTAAAAAACGCAAAAAATCTCTTATTTTTGTTTTGCAGGATTTCTCATCGGAATCCATGGTCCCTGGCCCACCAACTCTCGAATATTTCACGTCCGGCCGGAATCCGGACTTTTTGGCCGACGAAAAGGACAAGAAGACGTGCGAATCGGCGATTTTTTCAGCACTTTCAGTGCTGAAAAAACAGGGAAAAATTAAGGTGATTGGATTTTTGAATTCGGCACGTCGAGAGCTTCAAAATGGTACCCCACACGACCATTTTCCGTCGATTTTGAAAATTTCGGGTTACTGTAGCCTCATTTGTCCACAAATACCAGATTTTTTTGACTCCAGAATTGTTCTTAGCTTGTTAATATCTTCAAGTTGAGCCCGAACACGACCAGTTTTCGTTGAATTTGAAAATTTCGGGTTACGGTAGCTTTGTTTTCGTGGTGGGAACCGGAAATTTCAAAGGTAGATATATCGTGTTCATACTCATTTTGAAGCCATCGACAAGCTGGAAACGATTCTGAAGGTGGAAATATGAAAAATTGACGTTTGCGACAATTTTAGGACTTTAAAAAAATCTAAAAATCTGGAATTTTTAGATTTTTTTGCAGATCTTCGCCGATGACACTCAGCTCACCGAGCACTTGAAATCGCGTCAAATCGAGTACGTGGACGATTGGAAGGCGGCCGACGTCATCTGGATGATCAAGCACTTCCACGACTACAGTAACCTCGCCCAAGAGAATCCATGCGCTCAAATCAATCAATTCCCGTTCGAGTCGTGTATTACTGTAAAGGACCTTCTGGCGGCGTGTGCCATGAGAGATCCATCGAAAAACGATTGGTATCAGTTGACCTACAATCTGAATACCCAGTTGCCAGAATTCGTGGCTCGGTTCCAAAATCGGCAGAAGAACGGCGAGCACAATGTGTGGATTGTCAAGCCGTGGAATTTGGCGAGAGGCATGGAGATGGCGGTCACCGACGATTTGAATCAGATCATTCGGATGGTCGAAACCGGCCCAAAGGTACCTTTTTTTGGCATTTTGATGCTCAAATCGATTCTGGCATCAAAAATAACTCAAAAATCGAATTCCCCATGCTCGAAAACCCCCGGGGACGTCTTCTAGGCCCATTTTAAACAGTTTTGAGGAATTCTGTGCAAACACCAGATTTGACGCGCAAATTCAAAAGTTTTGCTTGAAAATCGTAGAAAAACACAATTTCAGGCTAGTTTTCCAACGGGAAAATCAACTTTTGGCATCGTTTGTCATGAAAATTTCATTTTCCCGCTGAAAAATCCAAAATTGTGTGCAAAACCATACTTGACGACAAAATGCAGATTTTTTTGAAAATTTGAACCTAAATTTGAGTTATTCATACAAAACTACATCTACACCGCCATTCTCTTTGCCAAAATTCGTTTATTCTCGAGATTTCGGATTCAAGTCCGCAAACACCAGATTTGACGCGCAAATTTAAAAATTTTTCTTAGAAGTGGTGAAAACACTATCTCAGGCTAGTTTCTGCCCCGGGGAATTCGTTTCTGGCCTTTGTTTGTCATGACAAGGTCGAATTTTCGCTGAAAACTCCAAGATTCTGTGCAAACATCAGATTTGACGACAAAATGCAGAATTTTTTGAAATTTTGAATCTAAATTCAAGATTGGCGCGCAAAACTACGGGTCAAAACCCATTCCTCTTGCCGAAATTGCTTATTTTCGAGAATTTGGATGAATGTCCGCAAACACCAGATTTGACGCGCAAATTCAAATTTTTCGCTTGAAATTTGTTTAAAAAACCATTTCGGGCTAGTTTTCGCTGGGGAACTTGATTTTTGGGATAATTTGTCTTTAAATTCCGAATTTGTGCTGAAAAATCCAATGGTCTGTGCAAACACCAGATTTGACGCGCAAATTTGAAATTTTTCATTAGAACTAGTAAAAAAACATCATTTTACGCTAGTTTTTGATGGGGAATTCGATTTTCACCTTCATTTTCTCTGAAAATTCAAATTTCCCGCTGAAAAATGCCCCTTTTTCAGATCGTCTGTGAGTACATTGCCCGCCCGCTGCTCTTCCCGCGACCAGACAACGGGAACAAAGTGAAATTCGACCTTCGCTACATTGTTTTCGTGAATGCCATCGGTCCAGTCACCGCCTACGTCTACAATCGATTCTGGATTCGTTTCGCGATCAAGTGAGGGCCCGGAAATGGCCTTAAATGGCCCGAAAATTGAATTTTTTCAAAAAATGTTTTTGAAAAACACTTGAAATCAGCTTTGAAAAGCGTTTAGGACTAATTTTACATGATTTTAGGCCAATTTTATGCCTGAAAACACCGATTTTCAGCCCCAAAACGCCCAAAAATCTCAATTTTCAGCCAATTCCAATTGGGCGCCTACGACGATTTGGAGACGCATTTCACGGTGTTCAACTATTTGGACAAGGAGAAAGTGCTCCAGATGAAGTGCGAAAAATTCGTTGAAATCATCGAAAAAACGTATCCCAAGCTGAAATGGACGCAAATCCAGGCGGATATCAATTCGACGATTCGAAAGGCGATCGAGGTGGCTGCGAGGTGATTAGAATTTAGGAAATGTTGAGTGGAAAATTTGAATTTGGCGCGTTTAAAGCTTCAAAATGAGTATAAATATGCGAAAAACTGGTTTTAAGAAATGTTCTAAAAATCGAAAAAAAAAAATCAAAATTCTGATTTTTTTCTAAATCTTTGATGAAATCCATTCTCGACACCAAAATCGAGTAGAGTACTCTGAGAGCTCAAAAATGATACCCCACACGACCCATTTCCGGTAACTTTGAGATTTTCGGGTTACGGTAGCCTCATTTGTCCGCGAACACCAGAATCGACGACAATGTTCGAAAATTTACCATTTCAAGGTAAATGGGTCGTGTTTATACTCATTTTGAAGCTCTCGACGAGCTGAAAACGATTCTGGAATCTAAAATGCAAAAACTTGATTTTTGGGAAAATTTTGGGGACAAAAAACAAATCGAAAAATCAATTTTTCAGAATTTTTCCTCTATAATTTTGAAAATCCAACTCCATTTTCGTTCATAGCTCAATCAGAGCTTCAAAATGAGCCCAAACGCGACTATTTTCTGTTGATTTTGAAATTTCGGGTCCCACCGCGAAATTGAGCTACAGTAACCCGAAAACTTCAAAATCGACGAAAAATGGTCGTGTGGGGTATCATTTTGAAGCTAATAATGAGCTAAGAGCGAATCTGAAGTTAGATTTTCAAAATTTTAAAAATTAAAAACCTTGAAAATCGAAAATTTTGATTTTTTTTGTTTTTTTTTTTGATTTTCCAAAATTTTGATTTTTTTTTGGAATTTTCAAAAAATTGAGAATTTTATATTTTTGACCTCAGAATCGTATTTAGCTCATCGAGTGCTTTAAAATGAGTATAATCACGACCCTGCTACCTACATTTTGAAATTTCGGGTCCCACCACGAAACGAAGCTACAGTAACCCGAAATTTTCAAAATCAACGAAAACTGGTCGTGTTTGGTATCATTTTAAAGCTATTAACGAGCTAAGAACAATTCCAGAGCCAGAAATCGCTCAAAAATTGTTTTTAAATTTTTGAAAAATTCAAATTTGCAGCGAGCCATCGCCACGTGGCGTCGCCCCTAACACCCAGTCTCGTGCCATGTACGGTGTCGACATCATGCTTCAAGAGTCTCCAGAATCGCCGGACGTCATCAAACCCACACTTTTGGAGATCAATTTCATGCCGGACACCACGCGCGCGTGCCAATATTACCCGGATTTCGCGGATACCGTATTCGACACCATGTTCCTTGATGAAATCGATCCGACGAAGGTTACGCCGATCTAAGATGCAAATTCGCTCCAATGAGAATTTTTGGAATTTATTGAAAATTCGATTGTTTAATTTTTTTTTCCACTTTTTTTCATTGTTCCTGTTGTCCTAATCCGTCCGTTTGTCCCACAGAAATCCCTATATTTTTTTTGTTTTTTATGATTTTTCATATTTATTATTCAAAAATTCCGAAATTCAGCTTCATATTCATTCTCAGCTCATCGAGAGCTTCAAAATGATACCCCACACGACCATTATCCGTTGATTTTGAAATTTCCGGGTTACTGTAGCTTCATTTCTCCGCAAACACCAGAGTTGACGACAACATTCGAAAATTTTCAATTTCATGATAAATGGGTCATGTCTATACTCATTTTGAAGCTCTCGACGAGCTAGAAACGATTCTGAGGTCGAAAATGCGAAAACTAGATTTTTGGGAAAATTTTGGGGACAAAAAAAAGAATCGAAAACTTCGAATTTCTGGTGCATTTTGTCGTCAAATTTGATGTAATTTTGTATTTCGTAGGAATTATGGGAAAAATTAATTCTAAACATTTTCATTGTCAATCATCATCACAGACGAAATTTGGTGCCCAAAAGTTGGTTGGGGGAGGGAATACATAATTATTACATGAAAACGATAGCTCATTTTTAAGGAAGGGGGTGGTGGCGGTGGTTGGGCGGGAAATTCAAATTTTTTCAAAAAATTAAAATTCAAGGGGAATGAGACACAATGGGGACCCTGTGTTTTAGTTTTGAGAGAAATTTTGAAAAAATCGATAAATCAATAATTTTCGATGGGGCATTTTTTTGCGGGGGGGATTAAATATACATATTAAATCGAAATAATAGAGATAATTAATTAGATAATTAGAGAGAGAGAGAGAGCTGGAAAAAATTTTTCTGCAATTTGTAATTTTTGTACCCTGGACGATGGCTGAAACTACATAACAAAGGAAAAAGGAAAAGACTAAGAATGTGAGGTAAAGTGGGGGAAAAAATATCACCGATATGAAACAACAAAAAAAAAGTGGGCGGGCGAAAATTGTAAAATTCAAAAAAAATTTTTTTTTAATTTAATCCGAATCACCGTCTTCTGAATACGCATAGTTGGCGTCGTGACGCTTCATCAGGGGAGAGGCACCGTCGCCACGTCGATGCAACTTCTGACTCGGGTAGCCACGTGGCGGCTGGTGATGAGCAATCGGTCGGGGACCGCCGGCTCCAGATGATCCTGAAAATGGAAAAATAGTTGAAGATTCGAATTCAGCGTGTTGAGAGCTTCAAAATTTGACAAAAATCGAAAATTCAAAATTTCTAATTTCGGGATTTTTTTCTACAAATTATCATTAAACCCTGTTTTTCTCATTAAAATCGAGCAGAGAACTCCGAGAGCTTCAAAATGAGTATAATCATGGCCCTATTACCTGAAAGTTTGAAATTTCGAGGTCCCATCACGAAACGAAGCTACAGTAACCAGAAAATTTCAAAATCAACGAAAATTCGTCGAGTTTGGTGTCATTTTGAAGCTCTCAATGAGCTAGAAACGATTCTGGAGTCAAAAATATGAAATTCTAAAGTTTTTGAAAATTTGAAAAATAACAAAATTTTGGAAAAATCGATTTTTTAGTTTTTTTTTTCTCGAAAATTTTGAAAATCCGGCTTCATATTCGCTCTCAGCTCACCGAGAGCTTTGAAATGAGTATGAACATGACCCGTTTATCTTGAAATTCAAAATTTCGGGGTCCCACCACGAAACGAAGCTACCGTAACCCGAAAATTGCAAACTCCGCGGAAAATAGTCGAATTTGGTATCATTTTAAAGCTCTCGATAGGCTAGAAACGATTCTGGAGTCAAAAATACGAAATTCTTAATTTTTTGAAAGTTTGAAAAATAACAAAATTTTGGAAAAATCGATTTTGGTTTTTTTTTCGAAATTCTGAAAATCTGGCTTCATTTATCAAGAGCTTCAAAACGATACCAAACACGACCAGTTTCCGTTGATTTTGAATTTTTCTCCGCAAACACCAGAATTGACGCCAAAATTCGAAAAATTTCCATTTCAAGGTAAATGGGTCGTGTTTATACTCATTTTGAAGCTCTCGACGAGCTGAAAACGATTCTGATGTCAGTTTTTAGACAATGTCGATGGAGCACTAGGTCAAAAACGAAGAAAGTTGCTCACCACTATGACTCCCAGCCCTATTCTGCTGCTGGTGTTGTTGATGAAGGATCGAGTGGGCGGGGCTAGCGAGGCTCCACGATTGCAATCTTGATCGAATCTCCGAGAATGTCGGCCTTCGTTCAATATTCTCATGCCAACACTCGACCATCAAACTGTAGATGTTCGTGGGACAATTGTGGGGACACTCGAGCAGATGGCGATTCGCAATCAGCTCAATCACTTGCTGATTCGTTGCCCCTTCGTATGGTTGACGGCCGAAGGACCAGATTTCCCAGAGGGTCACACCGAACGACCAGACGTCCGAGGCTTCCGAGAATCGGCCCTGCTCGATGGCCTCCTTAGACATCCAACGGACGGGCATCCATGAGCGGTGAATCATCTGAAATACAAAAAACGGTTGAAAATTGGGGGTTTTCTGGCGAAAGTTTGAGTTAAAAATATCCGAAAAATTCTGCATTTTGTCGTCAAATTTGGTGTTTTTTCAGAAAATACGATTTTCTTTGAGTTTTCTGTCGATTTCTCAGCGTTTTCGACCGAAAAATCGATTTTGCCACACATTTTCATGCTTAACATCGCGAAATTTGAATTTCTGTGCAATTTGTCGTCAAATGCGGTGTTTTTCAGGAAAATTCGAATTTCTGTGCATTTTTCGTCGATTTCTCAGCGTTTTCGATCGAAAAATCGGATTTGCCGGCATTTTTACTGTAGAAAACTGAAATTTTACCCTTCGAAATAAGCAATTTCTGAGAAATTCCGCATTTTGTCGTCAAATTCAGTGTAATTGAGCGAAATCTCGAAATTTCGCAAAGATTTTTATGTTTCTGTATTAGAAATTGGTACAAAAATCAATTTTTTGGTCGACACAGCTGAAAAATCAAAAAAATCTGCACGAAATTTCAAAATTTCCCGAAAAACACCAAATTTGACGACGAAATGCACAGAAATTCGAATTTTTGCGATGTTAGGCACGAAAAGGAGTACAAAAATTAATTTTTCAGGGAAAAACGTTCAATTCCACGAAAGTGCACAGAAATTCAAATTTCCCTGAAAAACACCAAATTCGACGACAAAATGCACAGAAATTCAAATCTAGTGGTTCTAGGGAGTAAAAATAGGTACAAACCCCGTTTTTCTCGCTCAAAAACTCTGAAAACACCGAAATTAACGGTAAAATTGAAAATTTCCCGAAAAACACCAGATTTGACGCCCAATTTCGAATTTTTCATTGAGAATCGACTTCTAGGGGCTAAAAATCGAGGTTTAAATCAAAATATCAAAATTTCGGGTAAAAACGCCGCATAATCGACAAAAAGTGCCACAATTTGTCAATTTTCCGCAAAACACCGAATTTGACGCGCAAGTTTGAATTTTTGGGCTAAAATCCGAGGTTTGAATCAAATTTTCAAGTTCTAGGGCTAAAAATTCGTTCCAAATCGAATTTCGCAGTCAAACCAACCTTATAATAATCACTTCCATAGCTAGTCCTCATCAATCCAAAGTCCGCAATCTTAATCGTCCGCGTATCGCCAACTAGACAGTTCCTCGTCGCCAAATCTCGATGCACAAATGACATCGACGATAGGTATTCCATTCCAAGTGCAATCTGTGTGGCTATGTACAAGAATTCGGCGTTCGCCTCCGCAATTCCTCCCATATCATGGTCCGCCGGGGGCACTCGGACCTTCAGAAGCTCGTGGAGGTCCCCATGTACCATATACTCGAACACCGCCAACAACGAGTTGTCCATATAGCACACGCCAATCAATTTGATGACATTCGGGTGATCAAATGTCGCCACCGTGCGGATTTCCTGCTCCAGCTGCGCTCTATCGGCATTCGTGGCGTCGTGTTTGCACTTCTTGACAGCTACGGCCATGGGTTCCGGTGCAAAGAGTCCTGAGGTGTAGATTCCCGAATGGACCACACCAAACTGTCCTTCTCCTATCTTTTCACGGACTGATAGCTGCGACGGGGTGATTTCAAACACCTTATAGGAGTTCTCGTCGATGCTTCCCCCATGTGGAAAGTCTTGGGATGGGAATCGCCGTGCCACGTGTTGCTGATCGAAATCCATGGGGTACGGTGGTGGTCCCAGAAGATTCGCCATTTCGACACCTGAAATCATTGTTTTTTCTCGGCAATTCTCAAATCTGATTTCATTTTCGTTCTCAGCTCGTTGAGAGCTTCAAAACTATACCCAACACGACCACTTTCCGTTGATTTTGAAATTTTCTCCGCAAACACCAGAATTGACGACAAATTTCGAAATTTTTAGATTTCAAGATAAATGGATCGTGTTTATACGTATTTTGAAGCTCTCGACGAGCTAGAAACGATTCGGAAGTCAGAAATAAAAAATTTTGATTTTTGTGACAATTGAAAAAAAAATCAAAATTTTGGAAAATTCGGTTTTTCGGGTTTTTTTCGAAATTTTTCAAAGTCTGGTTTTTATATTCGTTCTCAGCTTGTCATGAGCTTCAAAATGATACCAAACACGACCAGTTTTCGTCGAATTTGAAAATGTTGGGTTACGGTAGCTGGATTTCCTTGTGGGACCCGAAATTTCAAATTTAAGCGAACATAGTCATGTTTATACTCATTTCGAAGCTCTCGATGAGCTAAAAACGATTCTGAAATCGAAAATATGAAATATTTGAAATTTTGTGAAAATTTAAAAAATCAAAATTTTTGAAAAAATCGATTTCCCCAATTTTTTTCGATAGTTTTGAGAAACTGATTTCATTTTTGTTCTCAAATCGTTGAGGGCTTCAAAATGATACCAAACACGACCAGTTTCTGTTGGTTTTGAAAATTTCTCCGCAAACACCAGAATTGACGACAACATTCGAAAAAAAAAACTGAATTTTGCGAAAATCGAAAAATCAAATTTTGATTTTTCGATTTTTCAAAAAAAATTTTGAATTTTTCAGAAATCTGATTTCACATTCGTTCTCAGCTTGTCAAGAGCTTCGAAATGAGTATAAACACGACCTATTTATCTTGAAATCGAAAATTTCCGAATTATGTCGTCAATTCTGGTGTTTGCAGAAAAATGAATCTACCGTAACCAGGAAATTTCAAAGTCAACGGAAATGGGTCGTGTGGGGTATCGTTTTGAAGCTCTAAACGAGCTAGAGACGATGGTGACGGGTAGAAATCATTTTGAAAATTGATGTTTGCGAAAAAATCAATTTTGAAAAAAAAACAATTTTTTTTCGAAAATTATTTTTTCGTTTTTTGTTGAATTCGTTGTCCTCCCCACCTCCTTGCCGTCCTCCTCCCATAATCGGTGTGCTCGTTCCGTTCAATTTCCGATAGTAAGCCGAGTTGGCCGCCGAGTTGATCACCGACGGCGCCTGATTCTGATGACGTGCCTTCGTTTTCTTCTTCTTCGCCCGGCAGCAGCAAGCACAACAGAATAGCAGCAAGAGGATCAGCGAGAAGAAGACACCTCCGCCAACAAGAGCCACCTGCATGGTGGGGTCCAGCGAGTCCCAAAGGGCTGTGACACTCTCCGAGACTCCCGATTTTCCCTTATTCTCAAGCCCTGGGTACATGTCCGCGGGGCACTGTGGCACGTCACAGTACTCCTCCTGTCCCATCGGTCGCGTATAGCACCAGGGTTTGCTCTTCTTGCCGCCCGGATTCCTACAGTAGTTCTTCGCACCGTTCAGCTCGGGAAATCGATGGACGTTGAAGTCACGTGACGTGGAATCCAGCCATGGTGCACACTGTTTGCCTGACGACGACTGGCCGACACTTCCCTCGTATTGAGTGCCAGAGTTCACATAACACCAGTGCGTCAGATGGCCACGTGGCTTTTCCGATGGGTTGGAGAGCGTTGGAGAGAGCGACGGTATCTGGAAAAATTGGCAAAATTGAGAAATAGCTGGATTTTGTTACAAAACACCATATCCCACGACAAAGTGCACACATAAATTCAAATTTTCCAGTTTTCAATGTAATTCAATTGTTTACTTTGGGAATTGGCAAAAAAAACGCTTTTTTTTCGAAAAATTTCGAATTTCGCGCAATTTGTCGTCAAGTTTGGTGTTTTAGAGGCAGACATTTGAATTTCTGTGCATTTCCATGGAAGCAAACTTACACAGTAACCCTAAACTTATAAAATAACAATTATTGCTTTGTTTCGAGATACTGTAGGTTCAGTTTCGTGTGCAAACTTCGATCAATGCACTGAATCTGACGACAGAATGCACAGAAGAGGTTAAAAAAGCCGGAAAAACTACATTCGCAAGTTGACTTGGCTGAAAGCCAATATCTTTTGAGTTAAAATTGCAAAATTTCAGAAAACACCGAATTCTACGACGAAATGCACGGAAATTCAAATTTTTGAGTCAAAAACGCCGGAAAATGCAAATTTGACATCTCCATCACTATTTCAGTCAAATTTCGAATATTTCATACCACAAAATAAGCCGATTTCAGCCAAAATCTGCAAAACACCATATCCCACAACAAAATGCACACAAATTCAAATTTTCGAGTGAAAAATGTCGGAAAAAATCACTTAGAATCGTCTGAGATGGGCTAGAAACGGTCCAAAATAGACACCCCACAAATATGTGATGCATCACATTTGACGACATTTTGCACACAGAAAATTCAAAAAGTTTAAAATTTCAGCGGAAAAAACTTTTTTGAATTTTTGTAGAATTTTCCGTGTGCAAAATGTCGTCAAATTCGATGCTAATATCACCGTTTGTGGTGTTTGCACAGAAACTTTTTTTGCTCTATTTTGGACCATTTCTAGGCCGTTTTCAGCAATTTTTGACCATTTTAGGCCCCCAAAACTCACATTCTGCATCATGGCCGTCGTGACGACCGGGATACAATTCGAAGTGGTCGATAGACGAGAACACAGTGGGAATAGTGCTTTGGGCGTGTCGCCGACGAGCTCGTGTTGAGCGGCAAGTGCCAATTCGGTGGGACATTCGTCATTCTGCAATTTGAAAAAATGTTAATTGCCGGTAATTTGGCGGGTCGTTTAGGAGTAGATCAAATAATACTTTTATGAGTCTGCAATGTCTCTTTTTTTTGAAAAATTTCGATTTTCGTGCATTTAGTCGTCATGTTTGGTGTTTTGGAGAGCGAAATTGTCACTTCTGTGCATCTTGTCGTCATATCTGGTGTGCACAAGCCTACAGTAACCCTAGGCTTTCTCAATACTAATTGCTTTGTCGTTTCGGGTTACTGTAGGTTCAATTTTGTGCTCAAACACCGATCAATGCACTAAATCTGACGACAAAATGCACACAAGAGGTTGAGAATGCCGCGAAATTTGAATTTCGCAAGCCTACTCGTCTAAAAACTAACATTTTTCTAGTTAAAAATAGAACATTTTCGAAAAACACCACATCCCACGACAAAATGCACGGAAACTCGAATTTTCTCGAAAAACCTCGAATTTGACGACAAAATGCACAGAAACTCGAATTTTGCGATTCTAGGATTTAAAAATGCAAAAATTAGCCAATTTCAACAAAAAACACCATATCCCACGAAGAAATGCACAGAAATCCAAATTTTTGAGTGAAAAATGTCTTTTAACCAATTTTAGCGCCGCATTTTCACTAATTTATATCACAAAATGAGCCAATTTCAGCCAAAATCTATAAAACACCATATCTCACGACAAAATGCACGAAAATTCAAATTTTCGAGTGAAAATAGTCTTTTAACCAATTTCAGGCTATTTTTGACTATTTTGTACTGCAAAATAGGTCAATTTTATCCGAAATCTGTGAAACACCATATCCCACGACGAAATGCACGAAAATTCAAATTTTTGCTTAAAATCGGCTCAAAATCTAACCTGAATGACATCACAATCGTGTTTGCAAATCGCGACAATTTGATTGTTACTCTCCGACTCGCAAACTTTATACATATGATGGCACGCGACCGCCTGTGACAACTGTCGACACTTTTGCGATATCGTCGGCGCTCCATTGATAAAAAGCATGGCGGCTCTCAAATTCCGATCGATATCGTACATCTCCTCGCGCGACTCGTTCGTCATCATTACAAATTTGTTGGACAAATACTGACGACACGCTTCGCCGCGATACTGTACGCAGTCGCCGACACGGTATTTGATACCGTCCAGCCATCGTTCGGAAACTGCCATTGGGGCGAAGTTGCTGCCTGCGGCGCCATCGGGAACCCGATAGAGGTCCGCTTCCTCCTCGTCTGGCAAACGACCACGGTCCATTAGCTGCAAAAAAATTATATTTTTGGTGAAATTTGTTTTTTTTTTTTTGAAAAAGCATTTTTTTGAATTTTTCGGTATTTATTTAAATCTTTCCCCCCAAAACACTTTTTTTTCGGTCATTCTGAGCGCGAATTTAGCGTTTAAAGCCGAAATTTTCCAATTTTTCATCACAAAATGAGCCAGTTTGAGCCAAAATCTGTGAAACGCCATATTTCACGACAAAATGCACACAGAAATTCAAACTTTTGAGTTTAAAATGTCGAGAAAAGCTCAAAAATCACTTAGAATTGTCTGAGATAGGCTAGAAATAGACTAAAACTGGCAAAAAACGAATCGATTTCGACTTTTCAAAGTTTCCAAATTTTCTGTGCAAAATGTCGTCAAATTTGATGCAGTGCTGTTTTCAATAATACATTAAACAAAAATAACCGGAAATCGTTTGAAATCGTTTGCTTTTGAAGCTTGACACTTATAGAAAGTCTGTTTTTGCTGGAAAACACCACATCCCACGACAAAATGCACAGAAATTCGAATTTTTGAGTTAAAAATGTCGGAAAACGCAAATTAGACTATTTCAACCCAATTTCATCATATTTTTGACTATTTTATTCTCCAAAATGAGCTAATTTTAGGCGAAACCTGTGAAAGCCCCACATCTTACGACAATTTGCACAGAAATTCAAATTTTTGAGTCAAGAACGCCGGAAAATTCAAATTTTTGAGTCAAGAACGCCGGAAAATGCAAATTTGACAATTCCACGATTATTTCAGTCAAATTTCGACTATTTTATACCACAAAATAAGCCAATTTGAGCCAAAATCTGCAAAACATCAAATCCCACGACAAAATGCACAGAAATTCAAATTTTTGAGTGAAAAACGTCTTTTAACCAATTTTAGCGCCGCATTTTCACTATCTTATAGCTCGAAATAGGTCACAAACCTCGTAATCCTCGTACTCGTCGTAGGGAATGTGTTTGGTGGCGTGATGTGATCCGGATCCTTTATGTTTCCCTCCGCCCAACTTCACTGCATCCGTTGGCACGTTGTTCACCTGCATTGAGAGCAATTTTGCAACTTTTTGGAGACTTTTTGTGCAGCAGGTCGAATTTCGTAATTAATCGAAGGCGCGGCGTAGATCAAATGGAAGTTTGCTCAGGCGCGTCGCGTGTCGGCGGCGCGGTCGGCGGCGGCACTTTGATAAGGACCAAAAGGACCGGCGCCGGCGCTAGCCGACTGATAAAGAGAGACACAGAGAAATAGAGAAAAAGAGATAAAGATGATGGGTCAGAGCAATGAGCAAACAGCGATTCCTTATAAAATGACCCGACGATCAAGTGTGGGGAAGGAAAAATATAATTTATTTCTTTATTGTTTACTATGTAAATTGAGAAGAAACTGATAAGAAAAAAGAGCGGTTAATAGTTAATGGGAAATTCAAATAAATTTCGAAAAAAAACGCTGCGATGCATCGAATCAGACGACAAAATGCACAGAAAATTCGAAAAATGTTAAAATTTCAGCACAGAAAATCAGGACATTTTTTCGAAAATCAGGACAAAACTGCTCTCGAAATTAAAGCCAAAAATAATAGGAAAACACCAAATTCGACGACAAAATGCACAGAAATTCGAATTTTTGCGATGTTAGGCACGAAAATGAGTACAAAATTTTATTTTTCAAAGAAAAACGTTCAATTCCACGAAAAAGTGCACAAAATTTCAAAATTTCCCGAAAAACACCAAATTTGACGACATGATGCACTAAAATTCAACTTTTGTAGTGCTAGGTGTAAAAATTGGTGCAAATGTCGATTTTTCACAGAAAAAGGCTGAAAATCGAGTCAGTTTTCCCGAAAACACTGAAAACGACGACAATTTACACAGAAAATTCAAAAATTCGAGAAAAAATCCAAAAATTATTTTTTTTCTCAAAATTGAGAAAAATTGAAAATAGGTTGGAAGGATGAAATTGAAGAAGAGGAAGAAGATACTCCTCCTTGAGGAAGAAGAGGGAGGGGGACCTCCCCCTTCCTCATAAATCAAGTCTTCTCCTTCTCCTTCTTCTTCTTCTTCCCAGAATTTTCCTACCAATTCTCGAAAGTGACAAAGAGTGACAAAGATTTTTGGGTTGAAAATTGGTTTTTTGTGCACTTAGTCGTCAAATTTGGTGTTTTGCAGCTAAAAATTTGAATTTTGCAAGCCTACTCGTCTAAAAACTAATATTTTTCTAGTTAAAATGGAACATTTTCGAAAAACACCATATCCCACGACAAAATGCACTGAAACTCGAATTTCGCAATGTGGGGCATTGAAATGGTTGCAAAAATCGATTTCAAAATGCGAAAATTAGCCATTTTCAACAAAAAACACCATATTCCACGACAAAATGCACGGAAATTCAAATTTTCGAGTGAAAAATGTCGGAAAATGCAAATTTGACAATTCCACGACTATTTCAGTCAAATTTCGAATATTTCATACCGCAAAATAAGTTATTATGCTTGTCTGAGAAAAAAAGGTTGAGACACAGAGAAAAAGTGTCTGCGTCTCCACCTTATGTGTGCTATTTAGGCTCTCCGCTTCGATATCGCTACCGTATTTAGACTGCAAAAAAAACTCTCTAACCTTTTTTTTCTCAGACAAGCATAATAATTTCAGAAAAAAATCTGTAAAACACCACATCTCACGACAAAGTGCACAGAAATTCAAATTTTTGAACGAAAAGTGTCGGAAAAGGCAAATTTGACTTTTTTAAGGCCTATTTTAATCAAAATCTCACTATTTGATACCACAAAATGAGCCAATTTCAACCAAAATCTGTGAAACACCATATCCCACGACAAAATGCACAGAAACTCCAATTTTTGAATGAAAAGTGTCGGAAAAGGCAAATTTGACTTTTTTAAGGCCTATTTTAATCAAAATCTCACTATTTGATACCACAAAATGAGCCAATTTCAACCAAAATCTGTGAAACACCATATCCCACGACAAAATGCACAGAAACTCCAATTTTTGAGTGAAAAACGCTGGAAAATGCAAATTTCACTATTTCAGACCATTCTCAACAAAATGCAGTCGAATTTAGACTATTTCGTAACGCAAAATGAGCCAATTTCAACCAAAATCTGTGAAACACCATATCCTACGACAATATGCACGGAAATTCAAACTTTTCGGTTTAAAATGTCGGTAAAGGCAAACTTCACAATTTCAGGTCATTTTCAACCAATTTCCGCCAACTTTTTCCGGCTAAAATCAGCCAAAAACTAGTCAAAATCTGGTCCTTACTGCTCCTACCCCAAGACCAGACGACACGCATATGATTAATGGTCGAGAGGGAGGCAGGAGGAGAGCATCCTCCTCTCCTTCTGACACTGATCGAACGTTCTTCTAGATAGATAGAAGAGAAGATGGACGAGGAGAAAGAGAGAGAGAGAGAGAGAACGGTTTGTAAATAAGAGCGGGGGGTCCAAGATGGTCCTATAGATGGATACAAATGATATGGGGGACAGACGCATGTGGTAGCGAGGGACCATCATGATCGATTAGAAGACGTCATGAAAAGAACGTCATCTGGAGACCATCTATATAGTAAACAAGTTGAATTCTGAGGAATATAAGGATCTGAGGATCTAAGGATCTAGGAGTCCCGAGAATTCAGGAACCCGAGAATTCAGGAATCCAGGAAACCAAGAATTGGAACTGTCTGCTAGCCCAACACAGATGTTGATGTTGGAGTACAATACGTCATCAGAGGCCACCTGGGGCAGACCCCCTCCTCGAGACATATACCAAATTGTTGCATAACAATGTTTCCATAACATACGTGAGGGCCTATGTTTTTTTTTTTCTGCAAGGACGCATTCTAGTAACTTTAACCCCTATATCTCAGTTCCCATAAGAGATGTCAAAAAGAAGTCAACTGATAAAATGTTAAGCCTAATATACATCACATTTCGGCAGTTGACAACATTTTGATATATTTTGGAGGGACCAAGATAATTGATATCAAACTGCAAGATACCGTAAACGCTCTCTTAATCTCCCTAACTTTGAGCTCTTATATCTCGGCTCCTATAAGAGATATCAAAAATGTGTCTACTGATAAAATGATTATCATAATGTTACTAACATTTTAGCTGTTGACCACTTTTTGACATCTCTTACAGGGACCGAGAAAAATTTACTCAAAGTTGGCTTCTCTCCCAAACGGACCAAAAACGGACCGAAAACGGGTGAAAAACTGGAAGACACACAACTTTTTTCCGGCTCAATATTTTTAGACCAACTAAAATGGATCTGATAGAAAAACTTAAGAACTACAAAATAATATTATTTGGAATACTGTATCTTATCTGTGAACAAAGTAACAAACCACGTAAGAAGAAGCTATATTTTTCATCGACAAGTACTACAGGTTGAAGCTTAATTATCTCGGCTTCTATAAGAGATATCAATAGGTTGTCAACTAATGAATTTGTTATCATAATATCACAAATATTTTATCAGTTTGACCACTTTTTGATATCTCTCACAGGGACCGAGATGCGCTCTCTATTGCACTATATCGACTCTGGGTGGTCAAAACCTATTCAAAATGCATTTGCCTTCTCGATTTGGGACCATGAAGCCAAAGAAAAAAATTGCAAAATTTCTAGAAGATTCTTTCCAAAACGAAAAGAAAAGGAGAGGGAAATGGGCCGTCCCATTAGACTACATAAAACAAAATGCTTCTAAAATATGCACCACACCAATTTTTCCGTCTCCTCCCAAAGACGAAAAAATGTGTTTCTGTTTTGAAGGAATGTGAAATTAGAGGAAAGAAAAATGGCCCAAGAAATATGGCATTAGAAGGATGGACAAGAAGAAAGAGAAGAAGAAAAAAATCATATGGTTTAGGGTCAAGGGGGTGACTAAACTATGTAATCGTATAGTTTCAAAAAAAACGACAATTTGCAAAAAAAAAACGCTATAATTCGGCTAAAAATAAGCCAAGGATAACTAAAAATTCAGCGTCATTTCCAGCCATTTTCAGCTATATTTGACCCACTCCGCCATATATATATTATATAGCAGGACAAGGCAAAAGGTAATAATCATAAATAACCCAATTTGTGCTCTTTCTCTCCTGATTGACATGTACCTTATCACCAGATGATACTAATTGATAACAAAAAAGAAGGGTGATAAGAGACAAGGAGAGACAAGGAGAGACAAGGAGAGAGAGAGAGAGAGAGAGAGAGAGAAAGAGAGCAGGGAAAGTGGAGAGACGCAGAGAAGTTTGGGGGCTCCGATCGTGGCCAAAAAACTCACGAAGGGCATGAGAAAATCGGAAAAAAAAGTTGATTGAAAAAAATTGTTGCTCGGCTGAAAATTGGCTGAAAATCAGCTGAAAATCAATTTTTCCCCGGTCACCATGAGAAAAAAAATGGCTGAAGTATGGCGATTTTCAGCCCTTTTTAGCCTAGTTTAAGCCATTTTTCTAGCATCTGCTGACGTCATTTTTTGGATACTGGTGGTCCAAATGGTCTCTTTTCATATAACGAACGAACAGATGTTGTGGTGGTGGTGGTGTACTATTCGAGTGGTTAGCGATGGGGGGAGGCGGTAAAAAAGGACAAGTGGATGGTGGTTTAAAGGCACAGGAGGTCCCTTTGATCTCGTTTAGGATCTGATCTTCTAAGGGATAATCTCCACATTGAAGTGGTTCGATCCATCACTACGATGCTCCGTTATCCCGCCAAAAAATTTTTGTTTTGATCTACAGACTTTTAGAGACTTTTAGATTGTCCTAGGGGCCTTCCAGGAGGTCCTGATCTACAGGAGGAACTTGTAGATCAAACTAGAGGCAAACGGGATAGCGGAGTGTCGTAGACAGAAAGATCTGGCTCTGATTCAATCAATTTTAGAACAGCTAAAAGTTGGGCAAATCGAAAACGGACCACGGGCGGCTCTTTGGCGTCCGAACGTTCTAGGCTCGTCTAGAGCATCCAAAAGTATACCAAAATCGGAAAACGGGCGTCTTTAGGGTATCTGAACGCTCTAGAATCGTCTCGAACATTCAGAAGCAGACCAAAAAACGGACAAAAAACATCTCTTTAGCGTCTGAATGTTAAAGGATCCTTTAGGACAGCTGAGCAGCTAATCAAAATCGGAAAATGGGCATCTCTTTGGCGTCTGAACCTTCTAGGTTTGTCTAGGCCATTCAAAAGTGTGCCAAAAACGGACGAAGGGTAGCTCTGGGGTGTCCGAACGCTTAGGAATCGTCTGAAACACCCAAAAATGTCAAAAACGGACCAAGGGCGTCTCTAGAGTGTCCGAACGTTCGAGAATCTCGTTTCGAAAGTTCAGAAGTAGATCAAAAAACGATTTACAAAAACTAAACACACATCCTTCTGTTGTGTTGGATAGGGTCACCAAGATAGAAAACTAGAGAGAAAACGAGGGAGAGAGTGAGAGAGAGAGAGAGACAGACAGACAAAACGAACGATCCATCAACATGGACCAGCGGCCGAGCTGTCAACTGCGGGGGTCTCCTCTCTGTCTCAATGTTTCTATTTCTTCTTCTTCTTCTTCGATTGTTGTCAAAGTGTCGAAAATATCGCAAATCGAGGAAGAGGGAGGAAATCTCATTTTTCAATTTACCAACTTTCTCGAGATAGGTGGCGTCGGAAGATGATCTTCTGAAGACTCTCATGTTTGGAATTCTTCTGCAGATATCTCTCTAGAATCTTGAGGGATAAAAGCACCAGCAATCGACAAGATTCAAATTCTGGAGGCTAGAGATTCAGAGGATCTTTGGATCTTGAATTCCCAAGTCTTCAATCTACCTGTCGATCTTCTGTCAGGCCAAATTAGGAGCTCTCATAAGCATCCAAAGGTTTCTAGGCGATTCTAGAAGCTTCCAGAACATTCTAGAAACCTTGAGAACCCTCTTCTTCGACTCGACATGATCTAGAAGCCTGATGATGCATCTAGGCTAGGATTTACCTTCCACAGGGTAGATAGTCTAGATCTATCTCCTAGAAGCTTCTATTTTTTGATTCTAGACAATCTAGGCTGAAGGCTTTGATAGTTCAAAACTATCCAGAATGACAAATGTTGCTTTTTTGCCATCCAACCGTCTTGGAATAGTAAATCAGGCGGCTTAGGTTTCTCTATGTCCGTGTCCAATTGAAACAGCTGACAGGGAGTACACTAGGTCTTCTCGCAGTTGGTCAGATGGGGGGGGGGGGGGGGGGGGTCGGATGTTTAAAATTCAGCGTATCTAGGTCGTTCTAGACGATTCTAGAAGCTTCCAGAAGCTTCCCGATAATTTCAGAAGGCTTCCAAAGAGTCTAGATCTTTCTAGCAGGCTCCAAAATCATCTTTCAGAATTAGGTTCCAGAGAGTTCTAGACTTTCGTACGAGCTTTCAAAACGTTGTTCTAAACAGCTCCAGATGCTATAAGAAGCTCTGGGAAGTCTTTAGAAGGCTCTAGATCATTCGAGACGACCGCAAAAGCTTCCAGATGGCTCTATAAGGCTCTAGACCCTTTCTAGATGGTTCTGGGCCAATCTAGAAGTTCTAGACGGTTCTAGAACACTTTAGACAATTTCGGAACGGTTCCAGAACCCTGAAAAATCCCGAAAAATAGTCTCGAAACGTGAGGAAGCTAGTTGTGTCCCAATGATCTCTCGAACAATTTCGAAATAATTTTTCCAAAAAAAAAAAAAAAGATGGGGAATTTCAAATTTCGCAACTACGCCAGAAATAGTACAATTGAGGAAGCACGAGAAGGAAAGAAAAGATGTCTCTCTCTCGCCAAAAAGAGAATATGTGGACCAATTTCAATTTGCCACAGCTGATGCTATTGCTGCTGACCACCACCCTCGTTGCCGGTCGGGGTTAATCATTTAAAGGCGCATAGAGAGAAAGCGAGGAAGGGAGGATACGTCCCAACTCGTTGTGTGTAGCAATAGTGTTGTATAGTTCAATTGGTGTATGTATATATATAGAAAATGCGCTCTAATGAGAAAGGAGATCTACCACACTAGCTAAGGATGAAAGCGCAAAAAGCCCGGGGGGACCTTTTTAGGAGCTTCCAGCAGTTTCTGGACTTGTCTAGAAGCTTCCAGAAGCTTCCAGAAAGCTCAACGGAATATTTCAAAAGATTCTAGAACGCTCTAGAAGCGCTGTTAAGGTTCTGTCAGAGGACCGCTGATATTTTGATCTACGTGTGAAGGAAAGCGCGGGAAACTTTTGATCCTACCGTAGTTTTCGATGGTAGATCATAGAAAAAACGACTCACTCTTAGGACACTTGTCGTGTTCACCGACGCCGCCGGATTCGAAACGATGCACTGATAGTAGCCACTGTCCAGCACGTCCAACTGTGTGATAACCAGACGCGACGAGTTCTCCTTGTCACGAATCTTGACTCGCTTTGATTTCTCAATGGGTCCCTTGTTTTTGAGCCAACTGAAAAAAAGATTTGTAGTGGAAATTGAAAACTTTTGAAGAATTGGGAAAAACTTCAGGAAAATTCTATAAAACTCTGAAATTTCGAAATTCTGAAATTTCCAAAAAGTTGAATTTCAGAAGTTTTTAGAAGTTCTTGATTAAATTTTAAAAAGTTCTGATTTTAGAAAATCTGGAAATCCAAAAAATTGAAAAATGCTAAAATTCTGAAATTTCAGAAAAAAATTTTCAGAAATTAACTTTGCTGAAAATATAGAATAAATTTGGCTGAAAATCACGAATTTCACACTTAGAAGTTGCTAGAAACAGGACAACAAAAAAATTTCAAAAATGTTTTTTTCAGAATTATCGATTTTCCAGACAACATTTTCAGACGAAAAACTCACATAAATTTGAGGGGCGGCGTTCCGAGTGCTTCGCACTTAAATCGAACCTCATCGCCCGAGCTTTTTGTGGCGTTCCTTAATTGAGAGGTTAGTCGAATGTAGGGCCGTTGACCGGTTGATGTACCCTCCATTCTGCAAAAAAATTAAATAATTAATTAGAGGTAATTAAGAGGGTAATTAATAATGAATTAGGTTAAAAAACAGGAGGAAATTTGCTGAAAAATGAGCTAAAATTGATAGATTTTTTCGAAAATCTTGAAATTTTCAAATTTGAAAAAAGGCAATTAGGGTGGTTATTAGATGGTAATTAGTCGAACAAACTAAAGAGAAATCTGTTAAAAATAATCCGGAGTGACCAAAAAAAAAGTTGAAAAATTGATTTTCAAAAATTTCCCACAAAAATTGTAGATCAAAAAATTTTTTTTTGATCTACCAACTTTTTGAAAAAAGAATTCGAAAAATTCAGAAATTCGAAAATTCGAAAATTCAAAAATTCGAAAATTCAAAAATTGAGAAATTGAGCAATTGAGAAATTGAGAAATTGAGAAATTGAGAAATTGAGAAATTCAGAAATTCAGAAATTCAGAAATTCAGAAATTCAGAAATTCAGAAATTCAGAAATTCAGAAATTCAGAAATTCAGAAATCCAAAAATTCAAAAACTCAGAAATTCCAAAATTCCAAAATTCAGAAACTCAGAAATGCAGAAATTCAGAAATTCAGAAATTCAGGAATTCAGTAATTCAGAAATTCAAAAATCCAAAAATTTTGGAATTTCTGGATTTCTGAATTTCTGAATTTCTGGATTTCTGAATTTTGGAATTTCTGAATTTCTGAATTTTGGAATTTCTGAATTTTTTTCTGGACTGAATTTCGCTGAAAATCACGAATTTCAAGTTGAAAATTGCTAGAAAATCTCATTTTTCAAAATTTCTCCCCCAATTCCAAGAATCCCTTTTAGTGGTGTCAGTAAAAGGCGAGAATTATGACATATGGTCTCTTCTATTCCTCGTTTCTTATGCAAATTAGCTCTATTGGACCAGAAAAGAAAGTGGAATTAATTAGAAAATTGTGGGGGCCATACCGAATTTAAAGGCGCATGGCTAAAATTCGAGTTTTTAATCTTAAAAAAAATAGAATTTTCCGGGTCAAAGTGGCTTGAAAAATGACATTTAGGGGTCAAAAATAGTCTAAAATATGACATTTTGGGGGTCAAAATAGCCTAAAAATAACAAAAAAGAACTTGAAAAAAGGCACATAAATTCTGGGAAGCTGTCGGTCGGTGTCAACTAGAGAAGATATAGACACGCTAGAAGCTCATTATTCACAGAAGACACAAAAGAGAGGGGACGTCTTCTTCTTCTTTTTTGGAAAATGAAGTGAAATTGGTTTGGAAACAGCAGCAGAAAAGAAAATAGTGTGGGAAATTGAGAGGGCTCTTCGGGACCGCCCGGAGTCCGTTTCAAATTGAAAAGTTTAGTGTGAAAAGACTATTTCTATTCATATTGAAATAAGTTGTGTAGTGCTAGTAACAGTAGGCAAAAAATGTTATAAATTTCAAAGTTTTCCAATTTTTCGAAGTTTCGCGCGGCAAAAAGGGGGCGGAGCTTGGGAAACTTTTGGGACTTCAAATCGCTTCAAAAAAGGATTTTTATTAATTTTTCTTTAAAAGTTTTTACAGTAATTGTGAAGCTGAAAATGTAATTTTTGCTGCGAAAAAACGCGGCTTCGGTCTCGACCGGAAAACTGATTTTTTGGCTATTTTCAGCGATTTAAAGGATTTTTAATGGTTGAAAAATGTCGGGAAAATGCAAATTTGACAATTCCACGACTATTTCACTCGAAGTTCGACTATTTTACACCACAAAATAAGCCAATTTTAGCCAAAATCTGGAAAACACTATATTCGACGACAAAATGCACAGAAATTCAAACTTTTGAATTTAAAATGTCGGGAAAAACTCAAAAATCACTTGGAATCGTCTGAGGTAGGCTAGAAATAGACTGAAACTGGCAAAAAACGAATCGATTTCGACTTAAACTGAATTTTCAAAGTTTCTAAATTTTCTGTGCAAAATGTCGTCAAATTCGATGCAGTGCTGTTTTCAATAATACATTAAACAAAAATAACCGGAAATCGTTTGAAATCGTTTGCTTTTGAAGCTTGACACTTATAGAAAGTCTGTTTTTGCTGGAAAACACCACATCCCACGACAAAATGCACAGAAATTCAAATTTTTGAGTTAAAAATGTCGGAAAACGCAAATTTGCCTATTTCAACCCAATTTCATCATATTTTTGACTATTTTATTCGCCAAACTTAGCTAATTTTAGTCGAAACCTGTGAAAGCCCCACATCTTACGACAATTTGCACAGAAATTCAAATTTTTGAGTCAAAAACGCCAGAAAATGCAAATTTGACAATTCCACGATTATTTCAGTCAAATTTCGACTATTTTATACCACAAAATAAGCCAATTTGAGCCAAAATCTGCAAAACACCATATCCCACGACAAAATGCACGGAAATTCAAATTCTGGAGGGAAAAATGCCGGAAAACGCAAATTTGCCTATTTCAAGTCAATTTCAGTCGATTTTTGAATATTTTATACACAATATTAGTCAGTTTTCAGCCAAAACACCATATCTCACGACAAAATGCACAGAAATTCAAAATTTTGAGTTAAAAACGCCGGAAACTGCAAATTTGACATACTAGAGCTTAGGAAACTATTCGGGGAAAATCGACTTCACATCGCTTTAAAAAAAGGATTTTTATTCATTTTTCAAAAGTTTTTACAGTAATTTTGAAGTTGAAAATGTCAATGTTTTTCCCACAAAACCTCAAAAAAAAGACCCAGAATGGCGAATATTCAAACCAAGTTGGTTTCGACGCAAAAACTGACTTTTGGCTTTTTTCAGCGATTTAAAATGGATTTTTAATGATTTTAAAGCTGGAAAATCGCAATTTTCAGCTGTAATTTACCAGGAAATCAATAAAAACTAGGACAGATTGTTCAAATACTAATCTATGCTCTGTATGAGAAAATGAAGGGCTCTCGAGTAAAAAGAAGGATCAAGTGCTTTTTCTGATGCTTAGAGGAGGGGTGAGGAGGGACCATATAACACCATAAGCATACAGACAGAACGTGTATGTATGTGGGATTAGGTTGAGTAGGTCAAAACATACCCTTGTGCTAGGATTTTGGAAAATTTTCGATTCCAAAAATCGTCGAATTCGTTTGGCGCCAAAAAGTCATTTTAAAGGCGCATTTAAGCAAATATTACGGTATACGCTGTTTTTGATACTGTAACTTAAACAGTTAAAACTTTGGACCAAAAACTGGAAGACTCATACCTTCTTCCCGGTTTATTAATTTTGAACAAAAATCCAAATGGATCTAGTAGAAAAAATCGGGGTACTGTAATTTGTCTATTTGTCTAAAAGGGATATATGTTTTTTCATCGACAAGAGATACAGCTTTAAGAGCAATTATCTCGGATCCTATGAGAGATATCAAAAATTTGTCAACTGATACAATTTTTTGTATCTCTTGCAGGAACCAAGATAATTGAGCTTAAACCAAGGTATAGGTTAAGAATTTAGAAAATCCTGTAACTTTGATCACACCTAAGATACAATTTTTAAATTAATATCATTTTATAGCTCTTAAAATTTTCTATCATATCCAATTAATTTCATTCAAAAATATTGATCCTAAAGAAAGTTAAGGGTATTTTAGTTTTTGAGCCGTTTTCAGTCCGTTTGTGGTCCGTTTGTGGTCTGTTCGACCGGCAGCTAAGCTAGACTAATGTCAAATTTTAATTGTTAAAATTCCCGGCGTTAAAAACTTCAAAATAAGTATAATCATGACCTACTTTCCTTTTTTGGACCCCCTATGCGCCTTTAAAATCGAATTTCAACTTTAAAAGAACACATAGCCGTGTTTATACTCATTTTGAAGCTCTTAACGTGAGAAATTTGAAATTTTTAAATAAAAATAAAGAATATTGATTCTGGAAGAAAGTTATGGACCAGACTTCCCAAGCAGAGACGAGAAGTGGGTGCCTAGACCTCCTAGGTTCCAAAGGAGCACCCAACGAGTACAACATGTAATATATAAGAAATACATGAGTCTAGGAACTAATTAGGTTTCCGTGTAGTCGTCCTCCTCGGAGAAGAAGGAGGAGGGGAGTAATGAAAAGAGCATCAGTCAAAACTAATCGAACATTTGGCTCTCATAGGCGAGGAGGGGGGACCCCCCCTCCACACTCACTAAATCACAATTTGATGTTAAAAGAGAAGAGAAATGGGGAGGAAGGGAGGGGAAGAAGAAGAAGACAACTTCTTCTTCTTCTTCTTCTCCTCGAGACTCTGGGGCGTAAATAGTTGAAATAATGATGAAGATTGATGGAGTTTCGATTGAGGGAAGCATATAGGATCATGGTTTATGGAGAAGGCGAAGAAGCTAGGAAACGGACCAAAAACGGACAAAATGCAAAATACCATAAACGCCCTTATAAGCTCTCTAACCTTCAACTTTGAGCCTTCATAGCTCATTTCCTATAAGAAATATCGAAAATTGGTCAACTGATAAAATGCTACGCTTATTATCCAGCACATTTTGGCAATCGAAAACTTTTCGGTACCTCTTACAGGGACCGAGATAAATTGGCTCAAAGTTGGCCGCTCAATAATTGCAAACGGATCAAAAACTGGACGACTTATAACTTTTTTCCGGCTGAATATTTTTGGATCAAATAAACTGAAAATGATAGAAACGCTTAAAAACCACAAAGTGATACCATTTAAGGTACTGTAGCTAGTTTATGAACAAAGTTACAGGTCAATAAATGAGATCAATTTAACCTCAATTATCACGATTCCTCTGATAGATATCAAAAATTTGTGAACTGATAAAATGTTTGGGAGATAAAAATAATAAAAATATAATAAAAATTTTATCAGCTGACAAATTTTTGATACCTTGTACAGTAATCCAGATAAACAAACTCAAAGTTGACGGCTTCTATTAAAAGAAACACTTTGCCGTTTTGCTAATTCCTGGAATCTTAAGGTCCCTAGGAGCTCTTTTTAAGGACTTTAGGTCCTCCAAAAAGTTCTATCCC